ATCAACTTAAATAAAACAATTGCTATGCACAAGTCTGTACATATAAACACACACCTTAACACTGTTTGACAGCTCATGTGTTGCCCTTTATACAGTTTATTTTCTAAGGCTCACGCAGTCATAATTCGCACACTTGTAACTTTTAGCCATTTCATGTGTGAGCTTTAATAGCAGCAACTCAATGGTACCAGGAAACCGGCATACTCTGACTTAAAGTAACACAAATACTGGAGAATTAACCCACTTTGTGTGCCGGATACTATGTTTAAAAAAAAAAAAAAAAAAAAAGACGAATGCAAACAGAACGAAGTATGGACATTTCATCAATGTATCCCAGTTAAGCCCATTAACTGGAGAAATCTTATGCACAAAGGAACTTTTAAGACTTATTAGTATTCCTTTCATTCTAAAACAATAAATACGGCATTACATTACGAAAGGTTTAAGGAGAAATTCAACAAAACACACAACAACCTAGCCAGGTGAGCTCAGTCGTTAGACTTTGGGAAAAAAATGAGCTTTGTGCAGCTGGCAGAGAATTACACAAAGCTGGAAGCAGAGGCAGCTAACCAGATGAGATAAATATGGGAAACGGGGAAAAGCTTGGCATAAATGGTTTCCTATACAGGAAAACACCCCACAGTGCATTTCCAGTAGGCACTTGACACAAAGCTCCCCTCCCCTCCCCCACCCCAAAGCTTCATCTCGGACCACATATTTGTACCAAGTCCAGTGTGTGAGGGGAGGAGGCTGGGGATGGAGGCTGAAGAAAAAGGAGGGTAATCTGCACCTTTGTTTTTCTTCCCAAACACACGTCCACGCATACCTACACAAATCGTTTAAAGTGCTGGTGTCATGGTTTTGACCCCCACCACCACTTTGCATATTGTGGAAATCTACCTAGAATAAACTGGCTGGGGTGTTGGTGGTTGACCGTTTTGCATTTTTCCTAAGGGATATTTTCAGTTCGATTACACACGTGAATAGAGTGCCTACTATGTGCCTACCAGTGGGCCAGACACACAGCATTTCAGTTTCTCTGTTCCTGTTGAGGTTGTTTTTTGTTTGTTTATTAAAATAAAAGACTCCCTCATCCCCACAGTCTTTAGCATCCAAGGAATGGATATGAGGTACTAAGTCACATTCCCGGTGGGAAATGGCCACCTCCCCTGGCCATTGGGAAAGCCGCTCTTGGACATAACTGGTAGGATTTGCAGCTGACACAAAGCTTCCAACCCGGGACACCATTCCTGAAGAATAGAGTGGGCAAACACCCTGGCATTCTATCGCTTTATTTTCTACGCCCACACTTCCCTTGGTCCAACTTACTCCTTCACCGAGGAAGGGGGACGGGTTGTGGCCAGGGGTACTGCAACCCCACCGCACAGTGGGAGCTCCCTGGTCTCACCGACCCGAGTAAATGCCGCCGGCACAATGCCACTCACACAAAGGGATGTCTTTGTCCCTGGGGGCCTCTCCATCTGACCGCATCCTGAGAAGTGGCCTCCCTGAGTGGTAAGAGAGCCCTTTCCCCGGTCACGGGGCCACGGGGAGCCCAAGGACAGAGGGACCCACACCTGCTGCTCCTTGAGGCTGCCATGTCATCTGACCTGGTTCTCTTTTCAAAGGGGCCAATGCTTCCGCAGAGGCTGTTAAACCTTAGGTCACACTCGTTTCGATGCTCTGATCAGAGAGGTTCTCTATCTCTGCTTAAATAATTTGAATTCGCAAAAACCGCTTCAAAGTAAACAGTTAAATTGTAATGGTGATGGGTGCCACAGGAATGCTTAAATGGCAGCTAAAAAAAAAAAAAAAAAAAAAATTAAAAATCTAAAACCATCCACAAAGAACTCCTCAGTAGGCAATTGCTACAAATCAACTTTAAACTCACAAACATGTTGGGGGCAAGGGAGTGGGAGTGGTTAATGGAGACAGGAAAATCCACAACAGCTTACAGTGGCAGATCTCAACTATTCTTCTGTATCTGCAACAAGTATTCGAAAACAGGTTCTTCATCCGAAAGGCTGTGGAGGTTCTCTTGACCTCCACGTTGGACCCATGGCCCATAGCTTACACTGAATTATGACAGTAATTTAAATATTCCTAAGAAGAGCTGAAGACATCCGTTTCATACTTTTGCATGACTTCAAGTTTACAGTTCCTGCCGTTCCATTCCATATTAGCAGACCCCAAAGACATGCATTCTGCAGAGAAGGCACGGCTTGAAATGCTATTAAGGAAGATTGCTGTATTCCAGTGGCCCAGGTGGCCAGGCCCCGTCCTACAGCCCATCCGTCAGGCACAGCAAGCCAATCCGGGAGGGAGGGAGGAAGGAAAGTATGGGCGAGAGACACCTGATTGCACATTTTCTCACTTGCTGACTCATCCAGGAGATTTTGGAGCCTGGGGCAAAGCAGGGTTTTCCCAAGGGAGCCTGCAACTGTGCGTTTAGACGATTTCTATATAGATATATAAAAAATTCGTTAAAATGTCTGCTTTGTTCTGAAGTTTGTCGTTTACTTCATGATACTATCTCGGAGGAAGAAGGTAGGAAGGGACAACACTGCATGACAGATGTTCTGGTTCCATAATAAAAAAATATCGGTTTGTAAGGACTTCACAAAGCATAATCAACTACACATGAAGTCTTCCACCAGCGGGAGTTTTTCCAAATCATACGCATCGAAGAGATCGCTGATGCCCTCTTCCTCCCCGAGGCTTAGGAGATAGTCTTCTTGGAGCAGGGGAGGCAGTAAGTTCACAAATGGTCCTTCGAGGTTGGAAGGAATTTGGTCCTCAGTCTGCTGTAAGAGGTTGGCTGGGGAGGCCAGAGGAGAAAGGTTTGCCATAGAAACTGAGCAATCACTATGTCCTGAGTTGGTTGAAGCCAAGTCTGAAAGGAGAAAAATGGGTGGAAACGCAAAAGTGAGTCAGGATATAAAGTTGCTGTTCTGAAAGCTTTCACTCCCTGCTAATGACCATCAGGCAGCATTATGATACATACAGATCACCTGTCGGCAGTCTCTAGTCGCTCACTCATCTTTTAAAGTACCTACTGTTGGCAAACAAGGCTTTAATTAGCTCTGGAGATGAGAGGTTAACAAGTTAAAAAAACTTTTCTCTGATATCAACTGGTCATTATTTATGGAAAAACAAAACATAAGGTAAACACTATAAAGTTGGCTCCCTAGTAGAAACTCACTGATTTTAACTTAGTCTTTTTTGAACAACCAGCTTATTTTATTTAGTGATTTGAGAGAGAGAGAGAGAGAGAGAGAGAGAGAGAGAGAGAGTTTGTTCTACTTATTTATGCATTCACTGTTTTGATTCTTGTATGTGCTCTGATTGAGAATTCAACCCGAAATTTCGGCATATTGAAACCATGCTCTCACCAACTGAACTGCCTGGCCAAGGCGAGCAACCAACTTATCAAGGTTACCTCTAAAACTACAAAAAGGAAGATATTTACTTTGAATAATTATGGGGGGAAATGGTCTTTTGTTTTACTATTTGACGTGCTATATAGTAAGCAGTTCTACCTTATCTGTGGTTTTGCTTCCCCCAGCTGCAGAATTACCCATAGACAACTGCGGCCTGAAAATTTCAAAAATGAACAACTCCTAAATTTTAAATTGCCACAGTTCTGAGTAGGGTGCTGTCCTGCTCCATCCTGCCTGGGATATGAACCATCCCTTTGGCCAGCATCTCCTCACCTTAGACACTCCCTGCCTGTGAGCCACCTAGGGACCATGTCGATTACCAGATGGCAGTTGTGGTGCCGCCATGTGCCTGACGCTACCTCCCAATGCCTGTCATTCTCCTCCCTTCATCTCCTCATGTAGGCACTGTATCATTTCACATCATCACAAGAAGGCTGAACACAGTATACAGTACATGGTAGTTTGAGAGAACACATCCACATAACGTTTATCACATTATATTGTTATAATTGTTCTATTTTATTAGTTATTGTGGTAAATATCATATCAAGCCTAATTTATTAAGATTTTCCATAGATGCCTATATGAAGGAAAATACAGTATATATTTGAGCCTTGAACAACATGGGTCCACTCATACTCAAATTTTTAAAGACTTGTACTGCCTTCAATCCCCAGCTGGGAGTCCACGGAGGCCCCACATCCAATCCTCCACATCCCGAGGAACAATTTAAGATTTGGGGGCGTCAAAAGTTATAGGTGGATTTTCAACTATGTGAAGGGGTCAGTGCCCCTAACCCTATCATTGTTCAAGGATCACTGTATAGGATTCAGACATCTACTCTGTTTTTTTACTCAGTATTAAATCAGACCTGTTCACTTAAATCACTGCTATTCCTGCTGCTATATTGGGAGGTAGGGGAAAAACGAAACACATCCCTCCTAACTGAAACAGAAAAAAAAGAAAAACGCAAAGAGCTTCCTTTGCTCCAGGGACAGTGCAGGAAGAAGTTAGATTTATTTGGTTGGGGATTTCCTACCATATCTTCTCCCCATCACATTGGGAGTGGGGGGGGGGAGAGGAAATTAAGACAAAACTTCTTCGATAGAAGGCTTTTCTCTCCAAAGACCTCTCTCTAAGGATCTCTGTAACATTATGGAAAGGTGTGTGGCCAAGGATAGCTGATGATTCACTCAGCTTCACTCCCCACTTCGGGTGGGTTTCCAAACACTGTAAGGAAATGGTTCCTGCCAATAGCCAAATCCTGAGGGACTCCATTTGTGGGTGGAGGAATCATTAGCCCAAAGTCATTATTTTATTCTGCAAACTAGTGAGAGTGCCTTTAAAAGAAAGTTCCCTTCATAACAATAATAATAACAGAAAGTTTTGTGTCTTGCCTAGACTTGTGGTTCTGATACAGAATTCTTCCTGCTTGGTTGGCATGGCTCAGTGATATAGTCACCTTCATATTTAACATAGTTTTCAAATGACAAAAACAAGAGTTTTTACCTTTGGAAGTGGGTTTGGAGATATTCCCATTGTGGTCTTGGTTGTTTGTTTTCATTGGACTGTGTGTTTCAGTCTCTTCTGGACACAAGTAAACCTCAATGGGCCCTTGAGTACTTGCCAAGTGTATTTGCAGGCTCTATGAACAGAAGAGAGTGAGAAAGGTTCAAAATGAAAGTTCTTTTGGAAATGAAAGCAATAGTTATTTTCATCTAAACATATAAGATAAGGGTAGTTTTCTTAGTTCATTTTGCTTTGTCATAGCTATTCTACCTTTAACCAGTGATTGCCATCCCCAGAGGACAGGTCAGCAAACTATAGCCCAAGGCCCAATCCAGTCCAACTGATTTTGTGAAGCGTGTTACTGGCACAGCGTCACGCCTATTCCCATTACTGATGCATGGCCTCTGGCTAGGTGGTGTTTTTTTTCTCACACACAGAGTTGGGCGGTGAGCAGTCTCAACAGAGACTGTATGGCTCACAGAGCCAAAAATATTTACTGTCTGGCCCTTTAAAGAAAAAATTTGCTGACCGCTGCTCCGGAGAAGGTGAATGATGCTCTTTAAATAAATATATTTTTAAAAAGCAACACACAAACTATTAAAGGGTACTTTTAGTGTTTCAAATACAATATTTCCATGTTATTATTCCTTTATGGCAGGGCTTTTTTAATATTGAACTTTAATAACCACTGGACTGAGTTTAATAAGAAAATGCAGCAAACTAATACTTAAAATTCCTCTTCATCTAGGTCATAGAGCTATTATTATCACTTAAGGTGAGAACTCTACCCTAGATGAGAGCTTGCAAATTTCATTCTCTTTTTACTTTCTATGCATATTTTTTTTTACTACATTTCTTTACCTTGGAGTTATAGTCTGGGCCTATTATTAAACTATATCTGAAACCAATCACAAAAATACGCACCCTACTTTCTTACAATATTCTAGCCTATAAAATTAACCAAAGTCCCATTTCATCTCTTTAAAGTAAACAGGATACAAATGATAAATTCTTAAATGTGCTAAGGTAAGTCAGAGAGATACTTTGTAGCATTTCTATCTCTTTTTGTAGTGGGAACTATATTTAGAGCAATCAACATAAAATTCTCCAAAATCTTAAATTAATTGGAACCAACAAATTATGAAAAAAAGAAAGTACAAGAGGGACAGGACATCGTATACCACCTTGAGCTGAGTGCTCTGCTTTGTTAAAATTAGATCTTTTGGACACTCAATATATATTGAACCGTTGAAATGTTTTTAAAGTTAGTGTTAAGTAAAATAGATGGGGAAAGAACTTTCTAGTTTTCAGGAGGATATGAACTTTAACCATGAATCAATGATTCTTTAACTTCAGGCATTCCAGAAAGATTTCTGCAGATGAACAAAGACGTCTCCTTACCTCTATTGGGTCAGGCACTTCAAGTCTTGTTTCTGGAGGGGCTTTCACAACTATAACAGTTTGGTCTTTAAGGCCACTAATTTTTCGAATATCTTGATATGTAGCATAAGCTAACGTAATAAGTGTTAAGGAAATCTTCCAACTAATTGTCTCAGATGTAACCATAATGAGATTAACAAAATAGACGCATGGAAAATTTTGAAGGATTTTGTGATTTATAAGAAAATATCTGTCTTGCTTTCTAGATCTTTAAATACATGGGATCTTCCACAAATCTTTTTTCTGGGTGATATCTTAAACAAAATAAATGCATACCTTTTTCCTGCCTGTTTTTAAAAAGCCCATGGCTATTTGAAATATTAAAATAAACATAGAAATAGCATAGTTAATTTATCAAAAGAAAACCAAGACCCAGCTGCGGCAGTTCAGTGGTTGAGCATCAGCCTATGAAACCAGGAAGTCATGGTTCGATTCCCACTCAGGGCATATGCCCAGGTGTCAGCTAATCAATGATTCTCTCTCATCACCTATGTTTCTATTTATCTCTCCCTCTTCCTTCTCACTGAAATCAATAAAAACATTAAAAATAATAAAAACATTAAAAAAAATAAAAGAAAGAAAGCCAAGACCCATTTGGTCCAGGATTTTCAAACCTGGTTCCTCTGGAATGCAAATATTCCCTGAGTTTCCATGAAGTATGCTATCATTCAAATCGGATGACGGCATATTCCAATTTACAGGAAAAAAATTTAAGCTCTATTACAGATAATTTTTTGTAACTTCCAATAACTTCTATCTTTTATTTGACTATTAGCAAGTGTCAGCAGTCACTCAAATGCATGAATGAATGAATTAGTAGCAAATAGATATATTAGTGGAAGAACTCAGAATACTGCAGAAGCAGGCAACATATTTTCTTAAGTGTGCCTGGGCTGGTTGTGATTATATATTAAGAGCGCCAGTCCTTCTCAGTTAGAAAAATTACTTTACATGATATTATTAACTCTACCAATATTTCAGTGTTCACAAGGAAGAAAGTGGCTTCTAGATGGTCTGCAACCTGAATGAATATGAGAAACACTGATTTAGAAAAAGAGATTAAAATAATATTTCAGTACTCTAGGTTGTTACTTCTGAGCACTGAACAGTTTCTTTAAGGGCCTGGGCAGCCAAACCTATAAGGATGTCATGAAAGAATATGGTACTTTTTATACGATAAAAGTATCCAGGCAAGCTTGCCAGATAGACAAGCTTTTTACTTGGCACTAAGAGAGAACATGGTTTTCTTATAAAGGGACATGCAGTAACATAATGTACAATGTCTTTAACCAGCATTTAAAAAATAGTAACCCACCAAAAAATGCACATAATAAAACAGCAAATCATAATTCAATGAGGGCATTTCTATGAGTAATATAATATAGCTAATAGAGTCTGTGATCTAACATTTTAACACAGAAACAGGACTTAGTGAACCTAGAGAAAATAATATCCCTTAGAATAGTAGCTTTTTATTAGAATTGAAGGAAGCTATGAATCCATTCATCGGGAAAAAAAGCACATCCACCCCAATCTGCACATACATTTAGGGGCATTTGTCAAGACAACCTTCTTTAAATCTCAATAATTGAGACAACAGCCAATTCAGAGTTGAGCTTAATTGGACAGCTCAAGCAGGATTCCAGGTTTTAGGTCACCATTTATCTCCTCAGGGAAGACCACTGGTACCGTTATAAAGTCCTGCTTTGCCCTGCCTGGATAGCTCAGTTTATTGGAGCATCGTCCAGTATACCAAAAGGTTGCGGGTTTGATTCCTGGTCAGGGTACATGAGGGAGGCAACGGGTCCATGTTTCTCACAACAATGTGTGTGTCTTTCTCTCTCTAACAAAAGAAACATATCCTCAGGTAAGGATTAAAAAAAAAAAAGAAAAAGAAAAAGAAAAAGTCTTAGAACAGCTCTGAATTTTTACTGAGAACACTGGGAAAACATAACCAGGTACTTACACCATAGCCTGCTGTCAAAAAACTACGTGACAAGAACTCAGTAAAATAAAAACTCATCTACAATTACTCAACATGCTGCAGGAAAGAAAATTTCAACACATCTGTGAACAAGCTGTACCAAATTTGGAACTGAACGACAAATGGAAATAAATGGTGCAAACATAGTCTCTAATCTTATAAATTTAAAAGTGCTTCCACTGTGGCTCCCCTCCTGAATTTGCTTCTTGGGTTAGCAGCCCCCTGCAAGGAAGCTTTCATTCCCTGCAACAAAGGCTGCAGAGAAAGCTAATGGAGGTGACAATGCCATCAAGTACAAGCTGCCCATCATGGGTAACCGCCATATCTCCTTGCTGGGGCTCCCAACTACACAATGAGTGAAACAGTCCGACAGCCATTCTTGTTTCTTCCCTGTAAGCCCTCTTTGGCCACCATTAGGGGTTCATATCAGCACAACTTTCTCCCTCTCACTAATCATCAGCTGACAAGGTTAATCTTTTGGTCAAAAAGGAATTTGCTGTTTCAAAGAAAAACAAAAACGACCCGAATTGGAAAGTAAATGTCTTCACGCCCTCCAAGGGAAAGCCTGTTGGAGAGGAGACACTAGAAGAAAGTGGGCAGGAAACACTTTCTTCCCTGTCTCACAAAGGTAAATGTGGAATAATCAGTCTGGGATTAAAATTAGAGATGGGGTAATTTAAATATTGCATTTGCCTTCCACTAATAACTGAGCACGTTGCAGAATCTTCTTGCCAAAACAACAAAGCCATCTCCCCAATCTTTTGTGTGAAGGGGGTTGATGAACAGTAAGCTGTACTGAGATGGTCACCAGATTGTTAGCCTACAGAGAAGAGGATGTGGCTTTCTATATTTTTATTTCCAAGAACTTACTGTTTACAGATGAACAAATATACTGAGATTTGTTGGGCCTTGTGGTTCTTTTGAAGTCAGTTTTTGGTGTTGTGAATCAGCTTAATGCTTTTTAAAACTTATAGTGTTTTTTTTATATTCAATTTCTTTAGTTATATATCTCAATCAGACAGATTTAACAGATTCAATTGCTCCAATAGCTGATGAAAAGAAATGTAGAATGTGAGAACCACAACAGTGACAGCTAACACCCACCCAAAATCTGGGAAGCCAAAGATGAATCTGTGGAATGTTGTCATTAATATTAATACTGACACCATTTGTATCTTATAATAGTGTTGCCTTATGCAATGAATATACCATATGTGTCAACCACACATGAATTTAAAAAGTTCCCTCCTTGCTGTAAACTAGACATAATAGATGATTATCTTTCCATAACTACTGACTTCTAATACAAAGTGGGTTCTCACACACACACACACACACACACACACACACACACACACACACACCTCACACATGTGCATAAAACCAAAGTAAAAGTCTACCTTGTGCATAAAAGTCAGATTGTCAACTCTGGAAATAGTCTAGAAAGCACTAAACCCCCCCCCTGACCAGGTGGCACAAAGGATATCTTTGATTCTCTGAATCCTCGGTTAACAGTTTGAGGTCCAGGGTGCAGCTTTGGATCAGTTCATCTAATTTCTTCTCTTCCTGACTGAGCTCGGTCACTTCCTTTGACAGGCCTTGACACTGGGCCAGCATGCCCCCATCCTCAGACAGACTGCAGCCCCTAGAAACCCAAACACAGACTCTTCATGGCTACTCGAGAGGCCAACGGAGGCAGGGAAATGAACAAACAAGGGCGGGCAGGGAGAAATGATACCTAGGGGAGATAGCCCTTTCTTGACATAGGAGATCCCAGGGGTTGTTTGCTAAGTGTTAAAATTAGAATATATATATATATATATATATATATATATATATATATATATATATATATATTTATACATATAGTCCTTCACTTTTCATATCATAGAAATTAAGTGAAAAACCACTAGTATTTCAGATTTCTTTCCTACAGAGGAGGCCTGTGTCTGCAGAAGGCTCAAATTCATAGGCAAAGAGGCAGCTCCTTTCTGCCACATGCCTCCCAGGGGAGGGGTGGGGTGAGAGGTGGAAAGTAGGTAGGAAAACAAAGAAAGATAGAAAAATTGGAAAGAAAAGATAGAATGACTCAAATTCAATAAAACATCATCCAACAAGCACAAAAGGCCTAGGTAATTTCTGGGGGTCTTATGACAACAACTGAAAAGGAAAAGCAGGTTAAGGAAACAGAAGTATGTGCTGTTTGGAAGAACAAAGACCAACAAGTGTCTCTGAACCACAGACCAAAATGGATTAATCCAATTGTTGAAATTCCAAAAAAGTACAAAAAGTTACCTGTTCAACTTATCATGTTTGAAATAGTATTTTTTCAAGCCCCATAATGGATTTATTTCTTCCAATATGCTTTAATAGCTCCTTCTAAAATACTGGCATTTCAGGTGCTCTGTTCATAATTCACAAATTTAATCACACATGTGGGTGTATAGGTGATATGCATTACCATCTCCACTTTCTAGAATGAACTGAAACATTTGACACTTGCCTTAATTTATTCAGAAAGTGAGTTAATCTGCTATGAGAACCATGGTTAAAGATATTTGGCGACTGTGTATATACAGAGATGTGTTAATACACATCTATAGTTAATTTCCAAATTCCTGTTGGAGTTAAGACATGTGTAAGCATTTATGAGATTACACACATGGTCTTCACCGTATCAAATGAACAGCATTCTACTTTACACCTGTAGGACCCTAATTTATCCCAGGATCCCCTTGCTTGTAGCTAATGGAATAGAAACCCTTTTTTTTGTTATCTCTGACAGTATCTAAATAGGTCTCTTCCTAAAGAGACTTTGAACTTGTGGCTAAGGAGTTGAGAAAGGAGAGAGAGGTGAGAGAAGAAGAGAGTAGGAGAGCAAAACAATGAAGTGTGGGCATGAAAGTGAAAGGATGGAGAGGAAGCTCAATGTTTGAACAGATCCCCATCAGAGCCAGGGAATGGGGTGGGGGTGCGACTCATACTCACATCCATTGCACGTTGTTTTTAGACTTCTTCTTAATGAGGTGGATGCCTTCCAGTACATTGGTGATATCATAAATCCTTCTCTTTTGCACTTTCAGCACCTCTGCTGCCTTGTTCAAATCCAAGACCCCATCAGGTGACTGGCTCAGTAGCTGAATGAACTTCTTGGTGAGCAGACCAAGTGATGTATCATACCGTGTTTTTTCTGAGGGAGATTTTGGAGCTTAAAGAAAAACAAAAACCGAGCGGGTGGGGGGTAGGGGGAAAGGTAAAGAAATGAGGGGTTTCTTTGCAGCTGAGCAAGCCCCCTCTCCCAATGCAGCCCAAGTATTAGTATCAGAAGCAAAGCTGTTTCTGTGCAGTTACAGAGAAAGCTATGAAACTGCTTTATTAGAAAAGGGACAGTTAAAATTCTTGTTTGTGAATTTCTCAGTGGTTTCTACTTTGGTTCATCCTATTCCCTGAAACTAGTAAAGTATCTCACACACAGTAAGTGTTCAAAAATGTCTGATGAACGAATGAAAAAGTATGGTAGCCCCATGGGATCAGCACACGTGGAGTCTAACCCCATGGGGACAAGTGATGAATCCCCCCAGCATTTCATGCCGGGCTCAGACAGACCCACTTCAACTGGCCTTTCAGGCTCCAGGGTTGTGTGTGTGTATGTAACCTGTTCACTCACGTATCAAATGATGCTTCATTTGGATGAGTCTTTCAATCAAGTCTCCCTATCCCACCTGAATAAAATGTCTTTATTTAATATTGTACCTATTCTCTTATAGGTCACAGGTCAAGGATTTAATGGAGCAGTACACACAACCTGTGGATTTCGTAATTCATAAACTACAGGAAAGGTGAGAACAAAGTCTAACGAGGCCAGAGCCACAAAGGACTAGCTAGCCATCTCCGACCTACTTTCTTCTCTCCCAGAAGAAAAGGATCAAATCCATTGAAAGGGAAACTAGCAGCAATTCAATGGACTCAACCGATTCTTATGCTGTCTTATGCTGAGCTAGAGATTTAGACCGACACACATTTGCGACTCCAGCATAGTTCGTCTACACTCACTTAGCCTCGTTCTCTGAAATGATAATATCCGTTAAAGAAAGTTAAAATTAATTTGATTATAAAACGGAACAAGGAGCTTATCTTCTGAGTTGAGAAATGAAACTGCACACATTTCAAGAGGCCTCCTTTAAGTCAGTACATAGGCACTGGAGTGACTCTGACTCTGTAAACCTTTAGCTGGGTGTCTGCAGACACTGTATTTACTTTTTGGATAGGCACAGAGAGAAATGACAAAGAACAAAACATGGCAGAGTTATTCACACCTTGGCATCCTTCCAGCCGCAAGCTTTGAAAGTTGGGAGCCCACACCACAGAGAATCAGTGATGAAAGAATCCTTACTTTTGGGACTGTCTGGACTTCGCAGTGCAGCTCTCCCTTTGCCCTTCGGGGTTTTTAAACCATCCGAGAGGTACTGATGACCGCTTTCTCCTAGCTCCAGCCTTCGCTTGGCCTGGAATAAGAAAGTACAATCATTCGTCCCGGTCACATGGACAGTCACAAGCGAGGCTGTGTGGGATCTGGCCCCTGCCCAGTGCTGCAGCCTCATGCCTGCTCTCACACCTTGGCTTCGCTCGCTCAGGGTCTCACCATTCCCCAAGCTCTCTCTTCATCTGCAATGATCATCTGTATACACTCAGATGGACAAATCCAGCAATCCTTTAGGATTAGATCTAGAAGCCACATTGTTCATTTATTCATCAATTCAACACATGTGCCAGGCATGAGGCTAGATACTGAGAATCCAGCAGGCACCATGGGACTGAAATTAACCTTCCCCCATGAGCCTTTGCTGCCTCTCTCCATCTCTGAGCAGGGCTGGACCCCCTTCGTCCATAGTGCTTCCCCAAACGGCCTGTGTTTATTTGTATCATAACACTTATTAGATAGAAGAGTTATTTTACTAATCTGTTTCTCATTTCCTTCCAGGCAGGGACTGTTTCCCATTTATCTTTGTATATACCTAGTGCTCAGCACAGAGCCTGGGTTTCTGTAGGTCTTCAATCACTAAGTGACGGTGGTAACACAACTAGTCACAGATTACAGATGGTCATTCCTCACAATAACAAATATTGCAAATACTCAATCTTGGGCTTCAACTGCTATTATAATACTTCTGCCATTTAGTCACCAAACCTGGCATTTAAATGAGAGGTTCTCACAAAAGTTTTAAATTTATTTTCATTTCACTTTAAAATTATCCACTTTATAGTGTTTTCTATGTACTGGACACTGGCTTAGGAAACAGAGTTAAGGAAGACACATGAGGCCTTGCCTATCTAAGGCACAGAGTCCACAAGAGAGAGAATTAAAGAAATTTTGTTGAGTACCAACAGTATCGGTGTGATGGGTGTTTCAGACAGAAGTAACCCCAACAAGACATTTTAGGTTTATTTTAGGGCAGGTTCTTCTAATGAGGGGGTTCACAATAACTTCCCATGACACAGAAACAGAAATAATAATTTATCAATTGATGATAAATATTCAGCTTCTCAATGAAAGTTGTCAGCAGTTTGTATTGTTCACTACAGTAAGCAACTAGCCACACGTGACTCAGTTATTAAGCGTTGTCCCATACACCAAAAGGTGACTGGTTCAATTCCCAGTCAGGGTGCACGCTTGGGTTACAGGTTTCATTCCCAGTAGGGGGTGTGCAGGAGGTGGCAATCAGTGTTTCCCCCTTTCCCTCTTAAAAAAAAAAAAAAATCAATAAAAACATAGCTTTAAATAAACAGGGAGAAAAAATAAAATGCACACTGGATTTTGAAGACAGTACAAAAAGGGGGCAAAATATCTTAATAACTTTAAAATTGATTTTAAAATATAGTATTTTGACTTTATAAAATAAGACAGAAATAAAGTTATTATTTTACCTCTTTCTCTCTATTTTTTTTTACTATGTGGCTTAGATTACCTTTCTATTGGCAAAACATTACTGTAAAGGTCTGCTAGTAAGAATGAAAATTCACAATTTTTTTTTCATATTCATTTCCCCCTCCTAAATACTGTCCAATCCTGTGTGTGCCTGTTGTTGTTTGGCCCAGGAAAATTCCCTCTTCACCAGGCAAATGCCCCCTGATTGTTCTTCCGGGAGTACCCCTTCCCAGCCTCAGTGCACACAGGTCTGTCTGGTCAGTCACTGTGGTCCGTTCTCCCTTCCCTCTTCCCGTAACCCACAGTGGCTGGTTAAGGCGGCACGTGACCAAAGCCAAGTCCAGGCCTTGTTCTGGAACTACTGGCAAGAAGGAGGGCATCTTCCAGGTCAAGTTGATAAGCTCGAAGCCAGGAGCTACCTTAGAATGGAGGCCCCACAAGGGAAAGCAGAATGGAAAGATGGAGGGGAAGGGGCCCCACACTTTTCAGTTAATTAGTCAATAAAACCTTCTTTTTGCTTAAAGCACTTTGAGTTGAGAACCTGAAAAAGTGGTGTAGTAAGCAATAGCCTGTGGATTAGCTGAGTGTGGTGGGCTGGCAAGGCTGTTAGAGTGGCAATTGTGCCCGTCACTTCATTGGAGGCTGGCTTACCTAAGAGTAGAGAAGAGCATTGCCATGGAGGCCAATTTTCTCTGTAGAAAGTAATCCGAGAGAGAGAGAGAGAACACCATGTTCTCTGCCATGCTAAAGTCCACAGAAGGGAGGCAAGTGGGAGCAGCATTTGGGGCCTGGAACTCTTGTGCCCTTAAGCTGTATTCTCCTGAATCCTCACAATAGGGAACTAACCACCACTGGCCAGCACTGGGGAATATTACTTTTGCCAAAGCCTAAGGAAGCAGTAAACTTGTAGGCTAGAAACTGAGATGGAACCCTAAGAACCAGGACTACTCATGATGTATCCTGGTCACCAAGCACCGAATGTCAGAATTCACCAAATCTAAATAACTAGACAGAAAAGTCTCCATGATAAAAGCACTTGTATCGCCAGAGAATCTCTACATCTAGAGACCCTCAGCCTCCAAGACCATCAACCACTGAAGCCTATAAATCTATAACAAAAAGATCCGAGCATTGTTTGAGAGGGTAGAAATCAAGGTGGCCATATTGATCCCACAAGCAAGCCACATCTCCACCAAATCTCCAAGTGCCAGCATTTCCTGATGAGGACATGATGTGCTACGGGAGGCAACCACTGCGTGCTCCTTTCCTTTTCCAAATGGATGTTTCTTTGGCTTTCCTGCTACCTGTCCCCCACTGTTCAGTGAGCAGGAGCTGACCGGGACTTGCGAGGACACACAGTACTTGCAGGTCCTAGATCAGAGGATGAGCGTAGTAACTGGACTCTTTGGGGAAAGGCTAAGAATTTTTACACATGCTGGAGTGGCATTATTTTAACTTAGCAAACTCGAGCACACACACTTGCTGAGACAAACCAAAAACAAACCAAAATCTAGGCAGGAGGATTTAAATAGTGCAGGTAGTCTCTGCCTACACCTCCCTGCCCTGGGCTGAGCACCAGGTCAGATTAAAATCTATTCTCTCGGTCATCTTATTTTAAAAAAAAAAAGTTTATTGATTTTAGAGAGAGGGGGAGGGAGAGAGAAACATCGATGTGAGAGAGAATCATAGATTGGCTGCCTCCCCGAGACCAGGGGTCAAACCAGCAACCCAGGTATGTGCCCTGATGGGGAACTGAAACAGCAACTTTTTGGTGTATGGGATGACATTCCAACCCACTAAGCTACACCAGCCAGGGCTCATCTCAAGTTTTGGTTGCTCTTAATGTGAACATCTTGCTGTACTGAGAGTTACTCAGTTTATAAACAGATTTTCATATTACATGCTCCCAACTAGTCAAGCAACTAATCTTTCTGGTGCTCCACAGAAGGCCCAGCCATTTGGTCTTGAGCAGGAGTCAAGGCTAGGCATGAGAGATCATCTACATGGCACCTTCCTGGACCTCAGCTCCAACCAAGATCACCTTCCTCAATAACGAATGATTGCACCGATAAGCCTTTCTGAAAACACAAATATGAAAATAACGGATTAATGGTCAGGTAGCCAAGCTGTGGGCAACATCCTGCTTCTATCTGCCCGGCATTTGTTGCCCCTATTTTTGTTGTTGTTGGGGAAGGTTTCTATGTCCCCAAGCCTGAAAACAAAGGTTTACTATGACTCAACATCTTAAACTGACCCTTGCCATCAAGGTTACAAAGGTGAGGACTGTATTCTGGACCTACCAATCAGTGCATTCCAGTTTCTTAACTAGGTGACTAGTTTGGGGATGGGCCCATGAACAAAGTGGATGAATACATCAATCCTGGGATTTTTTTTTGAAAAGTACCAAGTTCTTCTCACTTGGAGCTATTAGGCAGAATAGTGTAAGTCTGGAGCTACCTGGCAACTGAGCCAATAGAGAAGGAAGTAAAAAGCTGGAGAAAGGCTGAGCCCCAATACCTTTAAGGGAGGTGCTAGATTCAGCCATGCCGAAAAGCATGCAGGTTTTCATTTCTGTGAGCCAACAAACTCCTTTTTGTTAGAAGACCACTGAGTTAGATTCCTACCACTGGCCACCAAGAATCTGCATAGATATGGCTCTTTTATTAACTATAACACAATGAACATTTGAGTGCTTACAGTATTTCAGACACCATATTAATTGCTTTCCAAAGGATTGTATTATCTCATTTTCACACAACCTCACAAGGTAGCTTCTATTATCTCCAATTTTATAGATAAAACTAAGGTTTAGAGTGTTTAATAACTTTTCTAAGACCCCACAGGTAGTAAGTATGCCTACACCAAAGTCCATGCTTAAATTATTGTAAAAAATTTCTATATAAAAATATTTGAGCTCAGCCTATATGGCTCAGTGGTTGAAGGTCAACCCATGAACCAGGTCTCAGTTTAGTTCCCAGTCAGGACACATGCCGTACAACCAGTACTTATGACGTGCACTGACCACCAGAGGGCAGACACTCAATACACAGGCATGAACAGACTGATTAATCTCAGGGAGAAGGGGGAGGAAAAGATTAACCAAGATCTTATATGCATGAATCCATGTATCAGTGGGGTCCCTAGGCTTGGCCTGAGGGGATTGGGCCAAATCCGTGCACTGGGCCTCCAACATCCCCCGAAGGATGACGGATTGCGAGAGGGGGGACCCCACTGGGCCTTTAGTGTGTGTGTGTATGTTTTTAAGTTATTATTTTTTTAGTATTCCCCTTACACGTTGGTAATGTTAGAGTTTTGTGATTTACATGCCCAGAGACTTTGGGAATTTATTTCTTGGTTTCATTCAAAGTAAACAAGTTAATTTGCATGAGTTCATGCCATATGCAAGGCTCTGGAGAAATTTAGCTGCTAAAAGACCTGAGCTTTTGGTCCAGGGAGAAAAACTGGAGCATGTGTTATGATTGGCAGTCCAGAAGTTGCCATGACAGCAGAGGAGAGGCATCCCAATCAGTCTAGGGAACTGCTCACTAACAAATTATTTGAACAGACCTAGGTTCAAAT